TCCTCCTCCTTCTCCTTTTCTTCCTCTTCCTCTTCTTTCTTCTTCTTCAGGCAAGATGGAATGTTTGATCAACACCAGATTTGCTGCCTGGAAGTTTTTTTTTTTTTTTTTTTTTTTTTTTTTATCTTATTGTTTTGAACAAGGACCCTGATTCTTCTTGGGAATAAGAGAACCTCTCTGTTGGGTATACAGCATTCACTTGGTCTGAGAAAACACAAACCCCACTCAAGTCTCCAGACTTGTTTACACAGAACACTGAACCTGCACTAGGTGGAATCTGAAGCTTGTTTGGGTTGTTCCTTGCAATCTGCCCAGACCCTGGGCACATATTTTGGGAGTTAAGCCTTTCTTGGGTGAAGGGGACTGGAATTGGGTGATCACAGTTTTAGGTCACACACTGCTGAGGATGGACATACCTAATTGGATAAAATGATGAACAGGAACTTTTATTCCCCAGTGAAGAAAATAATCTCTATGGAACAGAGAACTGAGGTGTGTTGTGACCATGGTTCTGACTGGCACCCAATCCAGCCTCCCCTCCACACTGGAGTTATTCAGACCACAGGACCCCCACCAGGCAGCAGAGTCCCCGCCCCACCGCCCCTGTGTCTGATGTAAGCCCTAATGAGCCTCACTTTGTACAGTAAATTTGCTGAGACATCAAAAAGTATTTAAAAGGAAGTTTTCTTCATTCTCCTAACGAGCAAGGTGAGGATTTATGGTGGATGGGGTGGGGGGAATCTGGTGGCAAGGGCTGACACTGCGGCAAGTCTATTTAACACACTCGAGCTTAAGCTCCCTCCTGCATTTGGGGGGTTCAGAGTACTTGGTTGTGGGAGTACAGAGACATGCAGCTAGGGAGTGAAAAAACGCCATTTGGTTTGGAGCAGATGGCTGGCTAGGGGGCTGATGGCGTCTAAAGGCGTGTCATCCCCCTCCAGCTCGAATCCCTAAGGGCTCCCCTTGTCTTCCCAATCAATGAAAATTAAAGTGCAAAGAAAGGATGAATAGTTGGACCTCGAGTCTCTCCTTTGTTCACCCCAGCTACTGGTGCGCAGGAGTTAAACTACAACAGGCTCCTATAGAAACGCTGAAGTTAAACAGTCTCCCCGTTAGCTCAGCCTTTAAAAGAGAGGGGAAGAGGAACCAATTTGGGTTGCAGGACAGAAAAAAAGGTAGAGAAGAAAAGGGGGTGAAGGAGGAAGAAAAAGAGTAAGAGGAGGAAAAAGAAGAGGAAAAGAGAAAGAAAAGGGAGAAGAAGAGCAGGAGGAGGAGGGAGGAGAAGAAAAGGGCTTTCTGCTTGATTTCCTCAATACAGAATCGCGTGGCATAAATTAAGTTGGGAAAGAATGAACGCTTTGGGCTGGATTCTGATGGATTTTACGATGCCTTTCAGTTCCGCTTTGCCGCTGTAATCGAGAAATCTGTGCCATGTCAATTTAACAAATACTTGATACTAAGGGGGGTTTGTTAAAGATTTGGGGCAAGTCTTTTCTCTCTCAAGGTTTAAGCCCTTGCGCGTGGAACTTTTTATTTCCAGTTTTCTAAACAGGCATTCAAATGAGACTGTTTTCCATTTCCATTTTCTAATTAAAAGGTTCCTGATATTTCATTTCTTCCTGAGATCTGTGCTCAGTCTTCCAAGCATCCAGGATTCTGCATTCTGATCTCGAATTCCTTTCTTGGTTTGCATCTCCCCTGCTCTGGGAATGCTCTCACCTACCTACCCCCTCACCCCCCAGCATAGGGAACAGCTTCTGAGCCCCAGGGAGCAGAGATCTCAGAAAGCAGCTTTCTGAGAAAACATCAACCTAGTCAAAAAGGGATGCTGACACTAGGTGGCAAGATTAAATTAGTATTCAAGCTGGCCCAGTCTTGTGATGATGTAGCAAGTCCCTACAGAGTTTGCAGAGGACAGGGACATTGGGTTTGCCTCTGTCCTGGGGATGGCCATATCTTTTGAAGCTTCCATTTGTTCTACATCACACAGTAGGAGATTCTTAGTGGGGCCCAAGCCTGCCTTTCTCACCTCAGCCTTAAATACCCTGTGCACATGGTGTTTGGTTAACTCTGGTTTTCCATGAGGCAGAGTTGGAAAGTATAAAGTGAAATCTCTGTTTATCCTGAAATTTTACAGGTACTTGGGAAACAAGGTAGCCAGGACAGGCTGGGTGACTTGAAATGAATGATTCCAGCTGCCTGACAGCCAGAGGAACAAACTGTTCAGTCCTGTTGCCAGTGGCTTTGCTGGGTCTTGGAGGACTCCCTTTCTGTATTTTTGTGATGCATACGTGGCCCTGGACGACAGTGAAACTGCCAGGACAGCGCAGGTCCTCACCATGGGGCTGTGACACCTACAACAGGAGACTGCCAGGCCCACTCTGGTGGTTGCCAGACAATCAGAGGGACAGTCACTCCAGCACTTCTCTAAGAAGGAGCAGTCAGGGAGAAAGAGTGGCAACGTGCCTGCCAAGCACAAAACCAGAAGAGTCTCCAAAGAAGAAGTCTATGCCTCCACTTACTCCTGCTTGGCTCCTGCAAGTAGGAGAGTAGTTTAGGTGATTCATTGTGATACGTGTGTTCTCAGCCCTCCCAATAAACTCATTTCCCTCAAAAAAAAAAAAAAAAAAGAAAAGAAAAAGAAAACAAAAGTTCTAGTGTCTGATGGACGTGTAAAAACCTAATAAGGTGACGGTTGTGTAAAGGTTGTGGGCTGGGGGGCCGGGCTGGAGGGGCCTTTGGAACATGTGCCGGACATTGTTGCAGAGGCCGCGGCGCGCGCGGAGGGGAGCTCTTTCTCTCGTATTGTGCAGGGAGCAGGTGCTGTCTGCATTACCATACAGCTGAGCGCACAAAGAGCCACTGATTCAGCTTCGCACAATAACAGACTGCCTTAATGACAGCCACGCGAACGACACACACCAAACTCACTTTTACCAAGCGGAGGGAGGCTAAGGGGGGAATACCCAGGAAAGAGGGGCCCAAGATCCAGGGAAGGTGGTGGCGCCCGAAAATCGACCGGGGGAGGATGTGTGTGCACTGGGGAGAGGGTAGTTTCAGGCTTCGGGTTCTCCGGGCTCCAGGGACGCGTGGCCGGGAGAGGGACCCTCATCCCAGTTGTAGCGGACGATGCCCGGACTCCAGGGGGCGGGGACGCCCGGGTCTCCGGGGGCGCCCCGGCCGTGCGCGCCGGATCTACGTTTCCCGAGGCGCAGTATCCATCTCCGCCGGGAGGTGTATCGGTGTCTGACCTCCCAAACTTCCCGAAACTGACGCCGCGCTCCCGCCACCCTTGGCCCCCAGCTCCGCCCGCCCCTTTCCTACAGTGCCCCCTCCCCTGCCCCCGCCCCGCCCCGCCCTGAAGACTCCTCCTTTGGAAGCGCCGCCGCGAAGGAAGGGCGGCCGGCCGAGAACGCTGGACTCCAGCCTCATTCCACGCGCCCTCGGAGCCCCCTTGGCGCAGCGGGCCGAAGAGGCCGGGCGGCGGGCGCCGCGGCGCGGAGCGTTCCTGAGGCCGTGGCCGGCGCGCTAGGAGGGCGGTTGGCGGCGGGCCGCCAGCGCTAGCCGTCCCCGAGGGCCGCCGAGGGTCTGAGCGTCTGCGGCCCGGAGGGTGCGGAGGGGGACGGGGCGGCGGCTCTAGCTCCGGGTGCAGAGGGGATTCTTGCCGCGAACATTTTGCAGGAATGTAAATGAGTGCGTTTTGTGCAGTGAGGGAGGRAGGCGGAGGGGGCGGGGGCAGGGAAGGACGGGGGGGGCGGGGAGGGTGGGGGCGGGGAGGAGGGTTGCACATTTTACAGCTCACTGACCATTTGGCGATCCATTGAGAGGAGGGTTTGGAAAAGTGGCTCCTTTGTGACAGCTCTCGCCAGATTGGGGGGCCGTTCATTTGCATCTCATTAGCCATGCGGGCGGCCGGCGGAATATAAGGGCGGCAGGCGCCGGCCAGAGCCAGATCCTCGGCGCGCACCCGCGGAGAACCGGCCCAGCCGAGGGTAGGTCGCCTGGAGAGGACTGGCAGCCGCAAGGAGCCTCCCACATCCCGGGCCTTGGTTTCTGCGCGCCTTTACTTGGATGGCATTGGCTGGATTCTTCGGGAAGACGCGAGTCTTTGCGGTGGCGCAGGAGATTCGGGTCCACAGCACTACCGTAGCGACCGCCGCCGCCGAGTGACACCCGACCGCGAACGCAGGGCGCGCGCCGCGCACCCGCCCGCCACCGCTGACCGTCTGCTCCGCGCGCCCTGCGGGGCCCCGGATTATCGCCTCGCTCGTGGGATTTCCAGACCGCCGCTTTCTAATCGGCCTCCGAAGGAAGCCTCTGTAGCTCTCTTGGGAATTAAGCTGAATATCTGGACGTTTCCCTTCTCTCTCTATCCTTCCTTCCCTCCCTCCCTCTCTCGCCCTTTCCATCTCTCTTCTTTCTTTCCTGCGAAGAGGATTAAGACAAAACCAGGAAGCAGGCGACCCTCACCTACTCGTGGATTGGAAGAGAGGAGAAAAAGGAAAGTTGCGGCTCCCGTCTCGACAGGGAGCCCTTTCTCTCGCCCGTCGGGGAGCTGCGGGCAGCCATCGAGGGCGGATCTACAGAACCGCAGCCTCTGAAAGAGCAGGGAACACCGCTGAAGCCAGGCGTCTTGGTCGTCCCAACTGAAGCAAAGCGGGGCTGCTTTCCTGCCCGCGCTCCCGGGGCACAGTGGCCCTCCTGGCAATCCCCGCCCTTTGGAGAAGAGGAGAGTAGGAGGGCAACGGCGTCCAGAGGGACCATGGGCCGTCGAAGTGCGCTGGCCCTAGCTGTAGTGTCCGCCCTGCTGTGTCAGGTAGGCAGTCGGGCGGGGCTGCAGCGTGGTGGAGGGCGGGGAGTCGATGAGCTGCATCTGGCCGCTGAAAGTGAGCCCCGTGAGCGAGCGAGGCACCTCGCTGACGCTCCGGATAGGGCGCTAGGCGCTCTGGCCCCTGCGCCCAGACCGCCACCGCCGGCCGCGTCCTCAAGCCCTCCCCCTCGCAGGTCTGGAGCTCGGGCGTCTTTGAGCTGAAGCTGCAGGAGTTCGTCAACAAGAAGGGGCTTCTGGGGAATCGAAATTGCTGCCGCGGGGGCGCTGGCCCGCCATGCGCTTGCAGGACCTTCTTCCGCGTGTGCCTCAAGCACTACCAAGCCAGCGTGTCCCCCGAGCCGCCCTGCACCTACGGCAGCGCAGTCACACCGGTGTTGGGCGTTGATTCCTTCAGCTTGCCCGACGGCGAGGACGCCGGAGCCGACGCGGCTTTCAGTAATCCCATCCGCTTCCCCTTTGGCTTCACCTGGCCGGTGAGTGCCGCACCTGCGCGCGCGGGGCTGGATGGATGGAGGGAGGAGTGGGCGGACCAAGGCTCCACGACAGGCAGGTGGCCTCGCTTGAGGCCTAGACTCCTCCCTTCAGTGGCACGGCAAGATGAAGGGTGTCACCCTGCTGGGCCAGCAGGGGACACCGAGGACCACAACCGTTTTAAGGACCCGGACATTTTGCATGATCTATCTCGCCAATGGAAGGAACCTCTTAACAGTGGGAAAGTTCTGGTGCCCCTGGCCCAGGCCCACTAGATGTCATTACCCACTCAGTGACAGCCCCCACCCTCAAGGTCCCCTCCCCGGAAGACAAATGACAGCTGCCCTCTGGCCTGGTCCACCACCCCACCCCACCTGCTCACACACTCTTTTTTTAAACATAATATCCTGTACTAACAGGCTGAAAAAATGCATCAGGAAATCACTCTTTAAAAAGTTTTCATTTCCTTAAGGAAAGTGAGAGCAGGCAGAGATGTGGAGACCTTTCCTGAGCACCCCACACAGAAGTGGGCCATCAGGCCTTTTTCCTGACCTGCTTTGTCTGGAATGACTTTGATTAGGCGGGAAAAAAAAATCCAGAAATCTGGTTGATTTTATATCCCTCTCCTTTCTCCCAGGGCACCTTCTCTCTGATCATTGAAGCCCTGCACACAGACTCTCCTGATGACCTAGCAACAGGTAAGACCAAAACCCAGATCCCAAAGCTACAGATGCTTCCCCTGCTTGACATGTGTTTGATGTCACGTACCTCCTACCTCGGGTGCCCCAGAGTGCAGGGTGGAGGGGCCTTGCTCTTCCCACTGAGCACCTCTGCCCCCCCCCCCTTGGTCTCAAGCTTCTGGGTTCTTGGTCAGAACTGACGAAAACATCTCTCCCCCATCTCCCAGAAAACCCAGAAAGGCTCATCAGCCGCCTGGCCACACAGAGGCACCTGACGGTGGGCGAGGAGTGGTCTCAGGACCTGCATAGCAGCGGCCGCACAGATCTCAAGTACTCCTACCGCTTCGTGTGCGATGAGCACTACTATGGGGAGGGCTGCTCTGTGTTTTGCCGCCCGCGGGACGATGCCTTCGGCCACTTCACCTGTGGGGAGAGAGGGGAGAAGGTGTGCAACCCCGGCTGGAAGGGCCAGTACTGCACAGAACGTGAGTCCTCCAGGAGGCCATTTCTACTTTTAGAGACTGTTCATGAGCCTCCAGAGTTCTGGATTTAGAGGGGACTATAGAGATTCTGGGGGGAAACCGAGGCCCKTGGGGCAGAATTGCCTTGCTAAAGCGATACAACCAGTCAGGGTCAGCTCAGGCAGTTTAACATTCAAGACAGTGTTAACCTCCCACAGGAAGCTGCTTTTCTTCTGAGGGAGGAGCTGGAGACAGGGCCAGGGGTCAGGAAGCAAAGCTGTGCTCCCCCAGGGTGTGTGCACTGGAGAGGGAGGGGAGGAAGGAAGGGAGGAACAGAGAGCCAGTTTGTTGGGCAGGCTTTCCACCAAGCCCTCCTTGCTATGACAGTGCCTCGTTGGGAAGTGCCCTTTCCTCCATGGGGTTGGAGTGCTTGACCTGTGTACAGAGCAAGCCATCTGCAAGGTCCCCTACGACTCGCACCATGCTTGCTATCCAGAGGGGTCTTTACTCCTGTGATATGTGGACACTGTGGGAGTGTGGGTTGAGGTTGGCCTGCCAGGCTCCATAAGTGAGCGGTGTCTGTGCCCTGTCTTGTCTGAGTGCTGCCACCCTGTTTGCAAAGAATATGTAGGTACTGATGTCCCAGGTGCCCTGGCAGGCAGGGGGCCAGGGCCACAGTGGGGGACCCCTTGGCTCTGGATCATCTGGACTTCAGTGGGCCTCTCTTCAGCTTTGAGGCCACTTCTGGGGCTCACCACCCCAGCCCATTGGCATATGGGCTGCCCAGTTCCCCAACCTTTTGAACTTTCATTCTCCTGCCCTAAAGCAAGTAGACTTTGAACTCTGAGGCCCAGAGCCTCTCGGGAGTGGAAGGGAGAGTGCAGTTTCTCAGCTTTGATTTGTGCCTAAAGTAGGGGGTGTTCAATGGGTGCCTAAATGTCCTCATTGCTTAGTTTCCCATCTCATGAAGTGTTCCTGAACTCCTTTTAAGCCCCGCCTTGGCCTGAGCTGAATCTGTTTTCTTAAGAACTGGCAGAGCTGCTCATTAATGAGTTTCATAACTGGGGAACCGAGCCAGCTCAAAGCCTCAGCCCACCCTGCCTCGGGTGCCTCTGCCTTCTGGACTGCCTCCCACCCTAGCTTCCTCCCTCTTCCTCAGTGATTCAGGGGAGTCAGAAACCTAAACTTTTTTCTTCTTATTCAAACACTGGAGTCTCCTCACCACCTCACGCGTGCCATAGATTAGATCTCCCTGGGGATAGGCAGCAGGGACTTTGCCTGCTCCCATTGGTAGAGGGGTGTGTGTGTGTGTGTGTGTGTGTGTGTGTGTGTGTGTATGTATGTGCACGACACCCGTGTGCACATGCTAGGACTGTGGGGGGGGCACGGGTGGGGGGCGGCATTGTTGCACTGGGGCAGCTGCCGGGAGGGCAGAGACAATGGAGCAGCTGTTCTGCCCTGGCACCCTGCACACCAGCTGTCCACTCTTATCTGCACACACACTTTCTGGGATATTAAGAGGTGGAGCTTTGTGCATAGAATTGGGAAGTGGGGGAGGAGGAGGGGGAAGACTTCTGACCCTCTCTTAGAAGAAAAGGGGATGGGGTGGGGGTGGGGGCTTCCGAGACCCTTTTGTCCTCCAGCCACTGTGTTAAAAAGAATGCTCATCCCAGGGCTAAGTAAAGTCCAAAGCAGCCAGCCAGGATGGGCCAATGCTCCACAGCCTGGGATCCACTCAGCTGGGACCCGCAGATAGGGCCCTGGCTGTTCTGCCCCAACCTGCAGTGATGCCCTGGAGGCCCTGTTGGGGGGTTTCAGCCTGTGCTTTTATCTGCCTGCAGCAATCTGCCTGCCAGGGTGTGATGAGCAGCATGGATTTTGTGACAAGCCAGGGGAATGCAAGTAAGTTTGCAGAAGTCGTTTCTCACTTTTTCTTATTATGCTTTATACATGGAGTATTTGTAAAGCATCCTCAGGTGGTTTCTTGAAGAATTGGTAAGATGAGTTGAGTGGCGCGGGATGGGGGGGTGGTTAATTGGAGTTTTTATCTAATAAAGTTTTGGGAATGTTTAAGGGAAGAGGTTTGCCATTCATCTAAGTTTCTAATCATTATGACAATGTACAGGTAGCAGTTTAAAATAAGTTAGTACAAAAGACCATCCATCCTCAAACCTTGCTGCATGTTAGAATCACCTAGGGCCTTTCAGAGGCCAGTGCAGAGTACCCTGTGCCTGTCTTCAGAATTCCGAGGCAGAACCAGCTCAGGATGTCCAGCTGCCACAGTGACCTAGTTGAGAACCAGGGATTTGTTGGTGCCAAAAATGATTTCTAATGCAGGTTGTTATGGATCCAGGAATGGCTACTATCCCTCTGACTGTATTATACTTCTGTTCTAAGGTGCAGAGTGGGCTGGCAGGGCCGGTACTGTGACCAGTGCATCCGATACCCAGGCTGCCTCCATGGCACCTGCCAGCAGCCCTGGCAGTGTAACTGCCAGGAAGGCTGGGGGGGCCTTTTCTGCAACCAGGGTAAGCCCCCTCTCCCAAGGCTGCCTGGTCCCCTCCAGAGCAGCCCTGGACTTGCCTGGATCTCTGGCCCCTGGAAAAATAACGTCTTCCTGCTTTTGACGCTGRGCTTCCTCTCCCTGCCTTTTCCTGTCTCTCATCTGGCAGACCTGAACTACTGCACACACCACAAACCCTGCAAGAACGGGGCCACCTGCACCAACACAGGCCAGGGGAGCTACACATGCTCCTGTCGACCTGGGTACATGGGTGCCACTTGTGAGCTGCAGGTGGATGAGTGCGACCCCAGCCCCTGCAAGAATGGAGGCAGCTGCATGGTGAGTGGGCGCCGTGGCGTCCTACCCGAAGCTGGGAGCCCCAGTTTGAAACAGAGTGTGAGTTTTTTGGAGCGCCTTTGGAAAGCCCTCTTTGACTCCTTCGTGCAGGACCTCGAGAATGGCTACTCCTGCACCTGCCCTCCCGGCTTCTACGGCAGAATCTGTGAGCTGAGTGCCATGACCTGTGCAGATGGGCCCTGCTTCAACGGGGGGCGCTGCTCAGACAATCCTGAAGGGGGCTACACCTGCCGCTGCCCTGGGGGTTACTCTGGCTTCAACTGCGAGAAGAAGATGGATCACTGCAGCTCTTCACCCTGCTCTAATGGTGAGGGACTACAGAGGCTCAGACTGTCCGATGCARCACTTCGGGAACTCCTGTGGGCCTCATTTCAAATGGCCACACCACCTGTGAGCTGCCTTGAGCTCCTTGAGCCTGAACTTATCCAGACACCCTCAGCAGGAGCTTGCTCTTGGGTCTATCCTCTGGGGAAAACCTGGGCTGTAAGACAGTGCTTACCCAGGATCAGCCCTGCTCAGGGGCAGGGGACTGTCCCCAGAGCAGCAGATCATGTTGCCAGGAGCACAGCAGGATTGCTTTTGGAAGGGAGCCCAGTCCCCTGGCTCAGCAGGGGCAGTGGTCTGGGGCCTGACGATGTGAGGAGGGCTGTTCTGTAGACCCAGAGCCTCTGGCTATGAGTGAGGGCAGGGTACCTGAGGCAGATGCGGAGACTAAACTAGGGCCCCACGGTTGCCTCTCCCTCCACCCTTCCTTTCTGTCCTCCTCCCTTCTTTCCCCCCTCCTTCCTTCTCCCTCCCTCCATTCCTCTTCTCTCCTTTCCTCCCTTCTTCAGTCCTTCCTCTTTTCTCCCTCTTCCCCACCCTTCCCTTCTTCCTCCTCCCTGCTTCCCTTCTTTCTCCTTCCTCCTCTTCCTCCTCCCTCTCCCCCTCCTCCTCTCTGACCCCCTCCCTCCCTACTTCAGTCTTGCACTAACAGTGTAGCTGTAGGCAGCCATGTGCCCCCTAAGCCTAGTTTCCCCATTAGTAACCTGGCTCCAGTGTGTCCTTTGTGGGCACAGTGGCGAGGGTTAGTGTAGTAGCCAGGAACTTCTAGCATGTTGGACTTCCCCTAGATTCCCTCCCACAGGCCCTGAGCCGTCTGGGTTTCTCTGCTGTCTTTTGGAGAGCCTTGTTCTTGTGGACACAGGCAAGATGCTCCCTGTGTTCCAGGTGCCAAGTGTGTGGACCTCGGGGATGCCTATCTGTGCCGCTGCCATGCAGGCTTTTCCGGGAGGCACTGTGAGGACAACGTGGACGACTGTGCCTCCTCCCCGTGTGCGCATGGGGGCACCTGCCGGGATGGGGTGAATGACTACTCCTGCACCTGTCCCCCTGGCTACACGGGCAGGAACTGCAGCGCCCCTGTGAGCAGGTGCGAGCACATGCCGTGCCACAACGGGGCCACCTGCCACGAGAGGGGCCCGCGCTACATGTGCGAGTGCGCCCAGGGCTACGGGGGTCCCAACTGCCAGTTCCTGCTCCCTGAGCCACCCGGCCCCATAGTGAAGTACGAGGGTGGGCCCTTCCCCTGGGTGGCTGTGTGTGCCGGAGTAGTCCTGGTCCTCATGCTGCTGCTGGGCTGCGCTGCTGTGGTGGTCTGTGTCCGGCTGAGGCTGCAGAAACAGCGACCGCCAGCTGACCCCTGCCGGGGGGAGACGGAAACCATGAATAACCTGGCCAGCTGCCAGCGCGAGAAGGACGTCTCGGTCAGCGTCATTGGGGCCACGCAGATTAAGAACACCAACAAGAAGGCTGACTTCCAGGGGGATGGCGCGGACAAGAATGGTTTCAAGGCCCGGTACCCTGCGGTGGACTATAACCTCGTGCAGGACCTCAAGGGCGAAGAAGCTGCAGGCAGGGATGCGCACAGCAAGCGAGATGCCAAGTGCCAGCCTCAGGGCTCCACAGGGGAGGAGAAGGGCACAGTGGCCACACTCAGGGGGTGCGTGCTGCTGCCGGTGGAGGGTGGAGAGCGGGTGGCCGGTCCTGGCCTGTCCCCTCCCATTGTCACTGCTCTGCGGTTTCCCTTTCAGGGGAGAAGCACCTGAGAGGAAAAGGCCAGAGTCCCTCCACTCCACCTCGAAGGACACCAAGTACCAGTCGGTGTACGTCATATCAGACGAGAAGGACGAGTGCGTCATAGCAACTGAGGTGAGTGTGCGCGTGCGCCTGGGGCTGGCGGGTGGGGCCTGCGCGCCTCCACCTGCTGCTCACGCTCTGCCCGGCCCTAGGTGTAAGCTGGAAAATGCGGCAAGATTCCCGTTCCTCTAAAATAGACACAATTCCAAGGATATATGCCCCCACGAATGCTGCTGAAAGAGAGAGGAGCCCACGGCTGCTGCAGAGGCGAGGCCCGCGCACCGGCTCCGGCTCGGCTCTTGCACTGCCCGCTGGGACCCTTCCGTTGCACTATGGACAGTTGCTTTTAAAGAGAATATATTTAAGCTAGCGGACTCAGTCCCTGCTGAGAAGCATGCACTGCCACGTATAGGTCTGGGGTTCTTATGAGCCGGTCTGTTCCTGACTAGAAACACAAACTGCCTTTACTGTACTTTTTGATACTGAAATGTGTTTTTTCTAGATGGAAAAATGTGTGTTATTTTTTGGATTTGTAAAAATATTTTTCACAATATCTGTAAAGCTTGAGTATTTTGTGATGTTTGTTTTTTATAATTTAAATTTTGGTAAATATGTACAGAGGCACTTCGGGTCTATGTGACTATATTTTTTGTATATAAATGTATTTATGAAATATTGTGCAAATGTTATTTGAGTTTGTTTTTTTACTGTTTTGTTAATGAAGAAATTCCTTTTTAAAATATTTTTCCAAAATAAATACTACGAATGACAATGTGCAGGTGTGGGTCCCTGCTTTTGCCTTGTCTGGGGCATCCTCCTCCCATGCTCACTGGACAAAGCCCCAGAAGTAGACCCCTGGGTCTCTTGTAGAGTCCTTGGCGGCTCTGGGTCCCTGGAGAGCCTGTTTTCTGCCTCTACCTGGGGCTCCTGCAGCCCTGGCCCAGGGCAGCTGCCCAGGCTTCTCGATGCCATGTTTGGTCGGTACTTAGGAGTCTCTGAGGCTCAGCTATTTCCTCTGAATCTTATTTTTTAAAAGATGAATAAGACCTTGTTTAAGGTCTGGCAGCCACGAAGCACTTTTATATTGCATGACAGGGCTTTTTGCCTTAGAATAATAGTCATGTGTGACTTTAGTTGCCTCCAAAATGTGGTTGCTTTCTATGGAAATGCTCTCAGAGTGYAATAGATAGTAGCAATAAACCCACTCTTTACTGAGTAGCTCCTGTGTACAGGTCCCTGTCAACCCAGTGACTGGTCTTGCCTGCAGTGTCACTGGACCAGGTCACAGGTGGGGTGTTCAAACTCCGAGGAGAGTTCTGGGCTGGGTTGTGTCAACCAGAGTAGGCAGTCTAGCCAGACCCGCACCGAACCATCAAGCTTCTTCTTGCCAACAAGTTCCTGAAGACTTCACAGATGTCAGATCTGGTGTGACTTTGAGTCTGAGAGTGTGGTAGGGATTGTGACTCAGACAACCAGTCCACACTGGGAAAGTGGCTTATTTCTGTTGCCCTAAGGATGCAGGCAGCAGGACGGCACCTTCCCAGCCTATCAGTGGAACGGAAGAGGCCAGCCAGCCCATGTCTCCTCTTCTGTATGAAACAACCCTATCGGGGCCCAGGAGAGTCCATGCCCAAAAAACATCAGAGAGGGACCAAGCCCAGCCCAGAGCCCAAAGTGCCCATGCTGCTTCTGTTTCCAAGACGGACCCGCACCGTCCCGACCCTGTGACGCTCTGTGACGAGGACCTCTGATGAGGGCTCTGCCCTCCCAAGAAGTAGGGGCAGGACCTAGGACCCCACTTTGCTCCCTCCCCTGGCTCACTTCTGGGGAGGGCAGGGTGACCTCACTACCCCGGAGCCCTGACAGTCCCACTCTCCCCTGGGAAGTAGTCAGACGGGGCATGGGTCCCAGGCTCACCTGTGTCAGGAGGCCCCACCAGGCTGTGTCTCCTAAAGCTCACTCTGTGAAGGTCACTCTCACTGTCCTCTTCCTGGGCTTGTCCTGCCGTCAGGGAAAGGCTCACCTTTCATCCGGGAAGCCGGACAGGGCACCTTGGCTTTTCCTCAGTGTTTCACTCAGAGCTCGGTGGGGAACACATGGGGCCCTGGTAGAAACAGCCACAAGGAATCACAGACATGTGTGGGCCCGTGGTGACTCGCTGGGCCGGCGACGCCCAGCCGTGGCTTGCCTCTGGCTACCTCTTTAAGGCAGGCATCTCCTCAGGCATGCCGGAGGAATGAGGAAGGAGGGGCCAGCGGCACACCTAGGTGGTGAGGTGGCAGGAGGTGAAAAGAACAGGTCCTCTCCCTGGGAGTGAGCTTCAGCCCCCGCGCCTGCCGAACTGAGACAGGTGGGCATCCCCCCACTCCCCCCGGGGATGGAGGGGGGCAGGAGCAGCTGGCCTCCCTTTCGCTTTTCATTTGCGCATGACTTTGTACTTTCAGAAGTTGGAAGAATGGTACAAAGAACCTCGCTATTAGAAGAGGTCTGTGTGGTTTCCTGGTCCCTGAAGCCCTCGGCAGTGTTCCTGGGCTTTCCATGGTGAGGATGAGCACCCACTTTTGCTTCCCATTCATACAGAGTGGGCTCTCGGGCCACCCGGAGGTGGCAAGTGACCACCACCACCTATGGCTCAGGCCTCAGATAGGGTGGTGAGTGCTGTCAGCTGGCCTCTCTGGAGGTGGCCACTTACGCTCCTGGCCCTCGCTGCCCTCTGACTTGCTGGCTCTTTGTGTTGGCCCTTTTCTCTCAAGTTGGGTTTCTTTCGGTGGAGAACAGCAGAAAGGCATTTTTTCCCCTTTGGTATTGGGAATTGAACCCCAGGGCACTTGACCACTGAGCTGCATTCCCAACCCTTTGTATTTTTTATTTTTAGACAGGATCTGGCTGAATTGCTCAGGCTGTTCTCCAACTTGTCATCCTCCTGCCTCAGCTCCCAAGTCTTTGAGTTGACAGTTGTGTGGCCATGACCAGCTCAGCAACTGCAGTTTCAGTGTTGTAAACTGGTGAGGCTGGAAGCAGAGACAGCCTCCAGGGATAAGTGGGGCAGGCCTTGAGAAGCCCACTCACCTGCCGCCTGCACAGCTTGGTCCCCACACTGTGTGCTGAGTCAGCATTGGAGACAGGCAGCATCAGAGGGGAGGGGTCCCCACCTTCAAATGGAACCCCTGGCCACAGTCACTGTTCTTCCTCTCATCACTAGTCATCGGACGGGAGAGTCTTGGGAGCCTGCAGGTCAGATCACCTGCCAGGACAACAAGAAAGAGATGGAGGAGCCAATGGATGGGTCAAGTCTAACATGTCAGCCTACATGGTGCCTGGACTGGTTCCTACGTCAAGCAGTTCAGAACTTTATGAACCAGCTGGAGAAATCTGAACTCTGCAGTGTATGTGCTGGGTCAGTGTTTTAGATGTGGTGTGTTGCTACTAGTGAGTTAGATAGGCCAATGAGTCCTTATCTTCTGGAGAAAACTCTGGACTGATTATGGAAGAAACAACAGGAGGTAGGGGATTTACTTCAAGCCCTCCAAGATGTGTGTACTGGAAAGTGGGTGGTACACCAAGGCAGGAGGGCCTGCACTGGTGGACAAACAGGGCAGTAGGTACATGGGGTTATGATCACTGTTCTCTGGTGTGTTAGGAACTCTGTGGAAGTAGAAGCACTGAGACAAACTGCAGTGAACATACACAGGTGTGCAGTAACCTGCAGGTGGTCCACAATGCTGTCTGTCACGTGGCAGGTGTGATGAATGGCAGGAGGTTTTCTGCCTTGTCTACACACATTTCAGATGAGAAGACTTCTGAGATGCAAACAAAGTAAATAAAGTTGGGTACAGATGAGCAGTTTGGCCCAGAACTTTTTTACTAGAGCCTTGTCCAAACCCAGCATCTGCTTCATGTTGGCTCTGCACTTGGAGGGGCCACTGCTGAGCCTGGGGCAGGATGATGGCCCCAGGGCCACTGTGTCTGTTGTGCTGTTTGAGGTTGTCTTCCAAAGCACAGATCTGAGCGAACGCTCTGCTCACCCAGTCCTGGCTTCCCGCTGCCTTCAGCCAGTTCAGGGTCCTTGAGCTGGCTCCCGGCTGTCTCTGCAGCCTCCTGGCACATTCTCCTCCTCTTGACCCTTTCGCTCTTGGCCCAGCCACCCTGATTGTGGGCAGCATGGCCTTCTGCACACGGCCCTCCACCCTCGTGGAATGCTATGTTCTGCTGTCACTCTGGTCCACCCCTCCACGAAGATGTCCTGTTGCCCAGAAGCTGCTCTTTCTTTTTTGATACTGGAAAATTGAGCCCAGGGGTGCTCTCCCACTGAGCCACACCCCCAGTGTCGTCTAGATTTAATTTTGAGATAGAGCTCACTAAATAGCCCAGGCTGGCTTCAAACTTGAGATCTCCCTGCCTCAGCTCCTGAGATCACCTGAGCAGATGGTCACAGCACGTTGCTTTTACTCTAGTAACAGGTCACCGACACAAAGCTTTGGCGAGAGTGACTTCTTCCCTTGGTGACCTGTGGACAGAGCCTTTTTATTTATTTATTTTTTTTGGTGTGGAGGAGGCACCACATTACTGTATTTCTTTGGTTTTCCAACTTCACTGTTTGACAATGCAGATTCAGCCTCCTGCCTGCCGGACCATCTTGCTGACCCTCCCTGGAGATGGAGCTCAGGCTCTGAGAGGAGGATCAGTAGAAAGGCAGCATCCCCAACAGCCAGCCAATGTGGCAGATAGACCAGGCCTGCCTCCCATCCCTTCCTCAGTCCTGCATGAGCCAGGCTGCACCTCAGTGGCCTTAGGTGCCTTAGGAGTCCCTCAACTCTGACCCTGGCAAAAGGGTCAGGGAAGATCAGTGCTGGAGTGTGCACCTGGGGCTGAATGCCAGAGGGCTCATGCACAGGTGCACAGCATGTGCCACCACCAGTGTGACACCCCAAAATGCTTTGGAATTTCAGTATTTGTCATTTGGAAGCAAGGCAGGGATGTTTTTTCAAGAGGACACGTGTCAGAGCAAAATGCTAGCATTTCCTTACAGAAGAGCTTTGATAGGAAGGGAGTATGAACGGTTTTAGAGACTGAAGGACCTCCCCAGTCACTTGTCCCTGGGGAGGTGTGGGTGCCAGCGACGTGTCTGGCTCACACGCCTGGAGATCGGCAAGCTCTGCTGGTGTTCCTGTGTCTCCGTGAACATGCACTGCTCCCCATCTGGACTTGGCGATCCATGTTCTAGAAATTTCAATTCTGATAGAAGGGATAGTGGACACAGGACAGGGCATGACAGCACACACCAGTCTCTGTCTTTCCTGAGGCCTAGGGAGCAGTCACTGATCACATCCTTGAAGGAGAAACTGGGGTCTGCACAGAAGATGGGTGCAGAGTCTTTGTGCAGAGGGATGGCAGAGCTGAGGGACACAGTGGGCAGCCTGCCTGTGCCCACAGACTCAGTGTTTGCTTGTCACGGTGACATCAACATGGACACAAAGTGTGTTGATTTTTGTTAAGTCCACTTGAGCTTTAATGCTCATCTGCTCTGAGGCCCAGGACTCTTGCTCCTCCGGCAGGACCATGATGGCTAAAATTGCCACTCAGTCTGGATCAGCATCAGGATTTCTGCCAGGGGCCTGCCAGGCT